TTTTGAAAAAAAATCCCTTTACCATCAACCATTCAAACGAATAAATACCAAATTAAATTTGCGGCAACTAGCCTAGTTGAACTAAAAAAACCAAAAACAATTTTGAATTAAAAAAACACTTAATTACTACAGACTCTAATTATCAAACTATGCAATGGGTGGGAAAATTTGATAGAAATAAAGTAGAGGAAATTCGCCTAATTTTGCGGCATAAATTTACTTGGGACGCCTAACTTCGTTTACTTGATATTTTATAATTTATACGCCCGTTGAATTGGACCATCCCACTAAGGACAGCATCGTTGAAAACGAAACCATGCAGCAATTCTGTAAGATACCTACTATATGTCAGCCTCTAATCTTGTCTATAAATACCTCTACATCATTCATTTCTTTCTCCACACCCAAATTATCCAAATTAAGCATCTTTCATCGTATTATTTTCCCCCTCAAACTCTCAAGAAAAACATGAAATTTCTGAAGATTTTCCTGATGTTTGCCTTGCTCATGGCCTCGGCCATCACTCTCTCCGCCACACCATCTAAAGATGAATCATTTGTTGACAGTGATGGTGATGATGATGATAACGATGATCATAGCCAAGTCGAACCAACTTCTTTCCGAGGAATTACCAGCCGGTTTCTCGCACAAAAACCTCGGACCGTGATGACGTGTAACAAAAACCCTAGAGTGTGTCGTGTGGCGGGCAGTCCGGGGCCTGATTGCTGCAAGAAAAAATGTGTGAATGTGAAGACAGACAGACTCAACTGCGGAAAGTGTGGTAAGAAGTGTAAGTACTCAGAGATTTGCTGCAAAGGGCAGTGTGTGAACCCAATGTCTCACAAAAAACATTGCGGGGGTTGCAACAATAACTGCAGCAAAGGAAGTAAATGCTTGTATGGAATGTGCAGCTATGCATAGAAACAATTCATCGTCACACCTCTTCTAGATATTGATCAAATGATCAGATAGCATTTAGTACATGTTTAGGTTCATATAGTCATTGAATTATACTATAAATAAGGCCGAGCCAATCCACATATGGTAGTTTCGGCCCCAGATGTCAGATTTTTTAGTTTAATGGAATTGTTTTAAATAATGTGGACTATTATTTGAAGATATAACAAGTAATATATTCACAATGTTCTTGGATACTGTATATATTATTTGTTCAAATTTTAGATATTTTAAGTATTAATTATTTATAGGTATATTTATTCTTATGATGATATGGTAAGACATGTATATAGATTTATCAACCAGCTAGCAAGAGGACATGTGTCAAAAAGGTGAAAATGAGGCAACTATATATTAGATGAAGGAATTCGTAAATTAGCGATCAATTTGTTAGAATTAGAAAAAAGAAAAACTATTAGAAATTATGCAAATTACTCTAGTTATTAACGGGCTTCGGCGTCTCTTTTTGCAGTCCATGGTGTGTGTCTATATAAATATATAAAAGAGATATCAATTTAAATTAGTGTAAAATTAACAAATTTTATAAATTTTTTAATCATTAATTTCAATAAATCTAAGAAATAAGAGAGTCAAGTGAAAAAAAAAATAGTTAATCTCATTTCGTAGATCTATTAAATCAATGGTTTAAAGAATATAAATTTTTTTTGTATAAATTAGATCCTTTCTTATATACATTTAATTTCATCTCTTGAATTTATTAAAATCAATTATTGAAAAAAGTATAAAAGTTTTTTATGTAAGTTAGATCTCTTCCCATATATAGAAGTGATCTAATTTACACCAAAATATATAGGAGTGATCTTACACCAATGTAAAATTTTTTAGTTTTACATCATTTTCTAACCATTAATTTCATAGATCTAAGAAATGAGAGAAATAAATAAATAATTTAATTTCATCTTTTAGATTTATTGAAATCAATTATTAAAAAAATTTGTAAAACTAAAAAATTTTATGCTTGTGTTAATTAACCTTTTTTTATGCTTGTGTTAATTAACCTTACTCATATTATATATTATATATTTATATAAATAGATACACACATATATATAAGGAGAAATCAACTTCCAGAGTATAACATTTTTTTAGTTTTATAGTTTTTTTTAACTATTGATTTCAATTGAGTCAAAGATGAGAAAAAAAAGTAAAATTATGAAAGTGGTTTAATCTTATTTTTTGGATCTATTAAAATCAATAATTAAAAAAATACGTAAAACTAAAAAAAGAGTTACACTTAGTAAGTTTGATCCCTCCTCTATATATAGAGAGAAAGAAATGATCAACTTACATTTTATAACTTAAAAAAAGTTTTATACGTTTTTCTAAACATTGATTTTAATATATATATATATAAGGGATGAGAGAGACTAGAAAAATAAGAAAAAATGGTTTAATCTCATCATTAAATCTATTGAAATCAATGGTTAAAATATATATATAACTTTTTTAGTTTTATACTGTGTAGGTTGATCCTTTATATATATATATATATATATATATATATATATTCTAACATTGATTTTAATATATTCAATAGATGAGAGAGACAAGTAAAAATAAGAAAAAATAGTTTAATTTCATCTTTTTGATCTACTAAAATGAATTATTAAAAAAATATAAAACTAAAAAAATTTACATTGTATAAGTTGATCATTTCTCATATATATTTTTATATGAATGAATACTTACACAAATATGAATGAATATATTAATTTAAAGTATATTAGTATATATTAATAAAGAGGAATATTAAAAGTGAAAATATGTATAATTCAATACCAAAAAGGCAATACAAATTAGATAATTTGATTGAACCAAACTAACAGGTTGTTATATTGGTTGAATTAGAGCTTTCGAGTGTATATATATATATATATATATATATATATATATATATATATATATATAAGCCCTATCATAATTTCATATTAATAAGAAAAGTAGAGCAACGAAAGAATCAAGTGATTCTCGCACTCTCAACAAAACAACATAGTTATAACCCCAAAAGCAAAAATGAACCAAAAAAAATCCTAAAAGAAGACTCTTGATTTGAGTTATATGACAAATAATTGATAGTCACGAAATAATAGATAAAACCCAATATATATATATACACATACACATAAATTATCCATAATTCATCTACATTCAAGTTATTCATTAAGTTTGTGAGTTGAATCTAACTTAAGTTAAGCTTTATACAAAAATTTTAATCGAACATTGTTAAGCCTAAATAATTATTTTATTTATAAACATAATTTTTAAAAAATCAACTATTAATATAAAACATTTCTAATTTGTTAATATTTTAAAATTATAATTAAATTTATATGAATTTTAATTAACGCATCAAACTTAACCTTAAATAAATCTTTAAATATGCTATTTTGGCCGAATTAGCTCAATTTAGTCATTGCACACTTCAAATTTAACAGCTAAAGCTCCATTTGGATGGATGATAAGATTGGCTACGATGATATTAAAAACAGTAATAAAATTTACTGTAACTACAATTGAAAAAAATTTTAATGAAAAATTTATGTTGATTTGATCTCACTAAAATTCGCATTTTGATTCAACTGAAAGTGCAGTGCATTTAATCGTATTACACCAAAAATGCAATGGGATCAAATGACTACTAATAAGCCTAAAACAAAGTTAAAATACCATTAGATCAAAGTAAACCCATCCAAATCTAAAGTCCCCTCTAATATTTGAAAGGGTTTGAATAAAAATAAGAAACTTGTAAAATGAGCTTGAGAAAAAAATGATGTCCTTTTAAAAGCATAAAGGGCCTTGGCTCTAAATTCAAGGCTCATGTTTGGCTTCATCTATTTTCGCAATTATATAATATTAATTAGCTTGCGATCCATGTGATGTATAAATTAATTTTATTTATTTAAATATATGTGTAGACACATAAATAAATATTATTTAATTTATATGTATAATGTATATATAAAATATTATATAGTTTTGGTTAATTTGTTTAAAAAGTGAATAATTATTGAAAGAATGCAAGTTTAAATTTAAATATCATTATTAAAAAAAAATATCGTGAATAGCTAATAGTAATAGTAAAACTATATCCTTATTTTTCATTGCGTTGTGCTTTTCATTTAAAATAGAATAATACAAACATTTAAAAATAAAAATTTCAAAAATTTCATTTGCCCAAAAGAATAAAAAATATTATGATTCATGGTTTATCAATTGTGTAACACTTGAGTAAGAAAATCCACAAGCTCAAAATCAACGTAGAGCAAAAAAAAATATATAGATATGAATTCATTGTTAAAGGAAACTATAGAAAGACGTTGTAACTTAACCAAAAGGTATAATAAAGAAAAGATTTGATAATTGTAGATTAATATATTTTTCTTTAAAATATTAATTTGACATAAAGGTAAAAATAAAACACCTTAGAAAAGTATATTAGGAGCCTAATTTAATGAAAAAATTATAGTTATCTACAATTTTCATTAAAAATGAGAGATTGTTAATAAATCATAAGTGATAAAATAAAAAAAAATAAATTAGTAGATGTAGGTGATTTTAAATTGAAAAAGAATATCTTTTATTTTAAATTAAAAAAAGACAAAATAATTACTAATATTCTTAATGAATTTTACTACTACTTTGAGAAATAGTGATTTAAGAGATGTCTTATATATTATTTAAATTAATATAAAACTATTATATAAATTGAAAGAATTGGATAAGTATATTTTTAAATTTTAAAAGCATTTAAAAATTGAATAATCAAATGAAAATATTTAAATGATATGAAAAGTTTATAATTATCTAGTTAAAAAAATGCAAATTTAAAGTGGTTTATTGTTCATTTCAAAAAATACATATCATATATATAGCTAATGTTTCCTTTTAACATAAAAGAAAATCATAAAATTGACAATAATATAAATAGCAATTGTATCGTTCCCTTAGTCAAGAATTTCAGCATAAACGAATAAAAAAATTTACCTCTTTCCCTATTGTAACATGTTTATGCAGAAAAAAGTTATGTCTAGTTTATGTAGACAAGTATTTTAATGAACTTTCAAAAAAAAAAACAAAGATATTTTACCTATCACTTATATCCTCAACATAGTTTCCTTTTCAATCTAAATCACAACCATTAAAAAGAAAACATTAAGAAGAAAAGCAATCGATGAATGAAAAATGAAAAGAAATAAAATTTGAAAATACAAAAATAAATAAAAAAAAAGAAGGTTACAAGATTGGGCTATCTAAAACACATTAGGATCGATTTACTATACTCAAGGAAAAATTATAAGAAGTGACCAATTTTTAGTAAATGTTAGGTCAAAGTTACAAACCTTTCCACATGATTTACTGAAAACATAAAAAAAAACAAAAACAAAAACAAAATAAAGGTGAATGATAATATCACAAATCACGTGTAGGGATAAAAGTATTGAGTTTAATTAATGAAAGAAAATTTTTTAAAGAATAAAAATTTTAAATTTGTTAAAAAGTGTGGTAGAGCATCCATGATTAAAACATCCCAAAAATCCATCCATCTTATTTGCCAAACTTTTTTTAAAATTCCCTTAGGCCTAAAAGTAAGAGTAAATAGACAAATGACAATGAAAATGATCAAATTAATACATAAGAAAAAAAAAGTTATGGGATTTAAAGACCCTAAAATTCATTTGTTTTAGAGAAAAAAAAAAAAGCAATCAAAGTCATTAAGTTCACACTTCACCAGCAAGTGTAGAATCACAATGGCCATAAAAGTTACATATAAATAATTAATTAAGCGACTAAATTAAAAAAAAAAAAAACACTCACGAGCTAATATTAATATAAATACCCTTATATCTATAATTACTAAACAAACATCTATCATAACTAATTTACATAGTAAGTGAAATCTAAACCAAATATGATAAACTTTTTAAATTTCAAATTTGTGTTAGAATTTAATCTGCAATAGATAATAGGGCAAGGATTTATTTTGAAAAAATAGAATAATATTATGTTTTATCATATGTGTCGTTATGAGAACATGCAAATCAGATAATATAAAAATATTATTTAAATTTTATATTTTTTAGATACATTGGAAAAAGCAAACTCTAAGATAAATTTTATCTAATTTAAATTTTTTTCCAGTAATTCAAAAATTATTTACGTAGATATACAAATTAACAAATTTATTGAGTAATTTTTTATATGTCAAAAAAAAACTTTAAAAGATAAATTTATTACTACACTTGAAAACTTTAAATTTAAAAAATATATTTTCTAGATTATAAGAAATTTATTTAATTTGAAAAGATAATATATTTAAATTAAATTTTGTTGTCAACAATTTGAAACTTACTAAAGTAGATATCCATGTAAGCAAATTTTTTGAATAATTTTTTATGTGTCAAATAGAAAAGTTAACCACTTAGGTGTCCACGTAAATAAAATTTGTCAAGTACCTTTGTATTTTGTAATATAATATTATATATGATATGATATATAATTTTATTTTATATATTATATAATTATATCATGTAAAAGATAAATATATAATACAGTATGTAAACATTAAAATTATATTTGTTTTCTCTGTTTTAAAACTTAATAATTATTAAAGATTAAATAAAAATGTTATTTTTTTTAAACAAAAATTACTTGGATGAGCTAGAGTTATACCATTTACAAATATAAATAAATTTAAGCAAAATTTGATTATCATTGGACCAAGCTTGAATAAGCATTTATTAATATCGATTCCATACTTAATTTCAGTCTGAACACGGCCGTGCTCATTCAGAGACAAAGAACCAAACATCATAAATCTGTTTACAATTCAAATTTGGAATGACACCTTTCAATTATACAATTTATTAATTATTGGAGTAAAAACGTTTTAATCCTAGCTACCTAAACTTTTTCATCATTCTACCATAGAGATGTTCAATTTTTTTATAGAAATGATCAAATTCAATGCAGCCTGACCACAAAAAAAGTAACAAGCGCGTATGACAAGTGTTAATTACTAACAAATCGATAATAAAGAGGTGATTTGCCTACCTTCACATCCACATTTTCAACTATAAATTGTTTGAATTTTTACTATTCATAATTAATTCAAGATGCCTAATTTCAGTTACTTGGATTTTCTCTGCCTGTTGGATTAGAATGTCCACTAACCCAATCAGCATATGGATATACACATACCATGCATGCAATTTCTTTTCATAACCCTCTTACCAGCTTCAATCTTCTATATAAATACCCCTCAACGCCCTACATTCTTTTCCATCCAATGCTTTCATATCTATATTATTACCACCTTTTTTTCTAAGCTTTACCTTGATATTTTTTCAAAATATGAAATCGCTCAAGCTTTTCCTTATGTTGACTATGGTAATGGCCTTTGCCATTACTCTCTCCGCCAGTACAACATCAGGAGAAGAACCATTCCGCAACAATGATGAGAATCCAAGTGAAGCTTCTGATCTTCCTATGGCGGATACGCAGGAGCCAAGCTCCTTCCGAGGAGCAGGCCGATTTCTTGCCCAGAGTTCTCGTGCTGCAAAGACATGTGACAAAAACCCTAAGATTTGTCGCATTAATGGCAGCCCAGGGCCATTTTGCTGCAACAAAAAATGTGTAGACATCGAGACGGACAAATTCAACTGCGGAAAGTGTGGCAAGAAGTGTAACTATTCCAAGATTTGCTGTGAAGGGAAGTGTGTGAACCCATTGTCCAACCAGAGGCACTGTGGAGGATGCAACAATAACTGTGGTAAAGGAAATGCTTGTCTATATGGGATGTGCAGTTATGCATAAAAGTTGGCTGAAGAGACTTCAAGCCATCTGGATAATTATCTAAGTATTGAAGCCGAAATCGATGAAGTTAATTTCCTTCTATTACACTAGCTATTAGTTACTAAATGAAGGGCGAAGCATATGTATCTTGATGTGCTTCCACATAGTTTAAATTATTTGTTTTATTTGCTCACTATATGAAATCAAATGTTTTATTATTATGTCTTATTGAAAGTATGTAAGAAGTGTTTATAATTAGTTCGTTGTTTTTTTTCCTTAAAAAAGAATACACACACATAGTTTATAAGCAAGAGATATATATTTTTAATTATTACCTATGGATTAATTAATTATATGCTGTTAAATTAACGTGTGGAATGCTAATGTAATATTAATTTAACTCCAAAACAATAATAATAATAATAGTAATAATAATAATAAAAGACAAAAGATTTTGAAACACAATTTTGGGTAAAAGTAAGCGACAAAATGGAAAGAACAATGACTAATTAATTAAGAAAAAGAGAGTTGTTCAAGCAATGGTATGCATTGAGAAGGACAGTTATAAATGGAGATTATCTCCTCTATGATCCCCAAATTTAAGAAATATGGGTTAATTTACTATAGTTATTCAATTGTACTGAATTTCGAGCTGGAGAAACTAAAAATGTTACTAGATATAATAACTAAACAATTTTGTCTTAATTTTAACCAATTAATCATATCCAAATATTGCAGGTGATGTTGTTAGGATCCACCGACAAATTAACCGCGGACAAAGTCATAAAAGTTACAGTAGTTTTTAACCGCTGTGGTGAGGGACTTATTGAGAGGATGCCAAGGTAAAGAGAGCGAGACAATTGGCGTCAGTTTTCTAACAAATTGATCATATATAAATTTGGGGCCAGGACTCAGGATAGGCTATACTCCCATGTACGTTGCCAACAACAGATATGATGAATGGAAGATGTACCTACGCTGTCTTGTTGGCAAGCCATGCTATAAACTTTAAACTTATTTCCCTCTTTTTGCTATAACCACTTTAATTTCTTTCTTTCTCGATGCCAGTCGAGTCGACTTTAGCTTTCCAAAATTTGGACTCCAATATCTCCTGGCAGAAAAATCATAGGAATGAATCCTCAGCTCTCTCAAATTTCTGTTACTATAAACAAAGAGGGACAGAACAAACCATTAAAGAGGTTTATCCTACAGTTCAAAAAGATTACCAAAGAAAAGAATAAAGTTGCGGTTGCTTTCACTTTGCTCACACCAATACTTCTTCAGAAAAGCCTATTCTCGTTGCTTTGAACTCCAAATGTTACAGGTGCTTTAGCTCTCATTTTCTTCAAGAAGTAAATGCCAACGGCTTTCCCTATGGCTCAGCAGCTGAAACTGCAGTTACAGTCCCTGCAACAATATGAAATCATCAATGTCCTAATCTTTGTATTTTGACATACAAGTTCATCATATTAATTTTTATCTTTTTATTTAATTGCCATCATTAGCACTATTAATACAAAATGCTAAACCGAAATATTGAAATTTCACCCGCAATGACTCCTGCCTTTCTGTGCCCAGAATTGTTATGATCTGCACAAGAGATAACACTCAACTTATTATAAGGGGATTAGCTAGGGATGATTGACAAAAAGTGATCAGAAATTTTCATGGCAAAACATTCGAATCAAAGCTAAACAGCCTTGTCAAGACAATTAGAAAGAAAGAAGTACCTGAGTATTAAAAAAGAAAAAATTCCAGGGTGATAAGAAATTATGAATCTTACTTCCAAATTATAATAAATCAAGAATGTTCAGTTAAAGCACACCTTTAAAATAAGAGGTGACATTTCCCTCCTTACATAGACACAAGAAATTCTTTGTTTGTGTATCAAATCCACATGTTGCATCTCCCTTGGATGGATCCTGACACTGAAGGCAGTATCTAGTGACTGGAACATCAAAATCAACCCGAGTTCCATATTCAGGTACCGGGTTTTAAGCAGAATCAGTAGTTGTACCAACAGTTCTCCAATATACACTTGTATATGATGCACACTATTTCAGCATCAGCCTCAAGGACTCTGTTGCTTTGGGGTAGTAAAAGCAGCAAGAATTACCACCCAGTTCAGTGGCGCATTCAGGTAAATGCCTGCAAAGATAACTAGCACTATCGCATGATGAATCACATTGGTCAGGGAATCTCTCACAAAAGATAGGCTTTGGCTCAACTATCACATAATCCTCGCTGCAGTTGAAGAAGAGGTAGTCATTTTGAGAGGACGGTGAGAAATGTGTGCTTGTGTTCAAGGCAAAAAGGCCTAGTTGGACGAAAGTTATCACCATCTTGACAATTCCACGTTAATGGATCGGTAACAAGAATATGAGTATTGTCGTAACGATTTTGTGTCCGTCTAACGAATTTGAAAACAAAAATAAAAGAATGAAAAACGGAGTCACTACTAATCTTTTTTTGGTTAGCTGCAATTTGCCACCTATTAAAATATATCTTTTTAATAAAATTTTTAAATTAATTAAAATTTATTAAAAAGATAATTTATGGTTTATGAAACAGGCTGGGTTCAGGAGTCGGTTACGCGTGAAGAAGGATTAGCACCCTCATAGTTTCCGTTTAAAATAGTACTAATTAACTATGTGTTATCCATTAATTTTGATAACAACAGTCTTATTTTCGGTATTTAAAAAAATAATTTTATTGATTTTTTTATTTATTGGATATTAGTTTTATTTATTTATTTATTGATGCTCAAATTTTATTCAAGGAAAATAAATTAAGACCTTTTTATTGAAATAGTTCTTAAAATGTTCCATTACGTTTGTAACATTAGAAGAACTCTTTCTCACCTAGAGATTTCTTAGGCATCGCTTCTTGGAATATTTTAAAATCTCATCTTTGGATGTTCAAATTTACTTTTTGTAAAAATTATGTCATGCATATAATACAAATAATATATTGAGGCACACATTTTATTCTTTTTTTAAAAATTTTATTAATTGTTTTATTTTATTTTTATACTTTTTAATTTTTGAAGAAAAAAAAATTTTATTATATTGAAGTTTTTCTATAAATATTTTAATACACTGATAATATTTTAAAAAAATTTCTCACCTAGGGATTTCATAAAGTATCACTACTTAGAATACCTTTAAAATCCCATCATTTGATAAAATTTTTTTTCTCTATATTTATATTATTATTTTTTTAATTTATTAGTAAAAAAGAAATTTTATTGTGTTGAAAATTTTTATATAAATACTCCAATATAATGGTAGTATTTAAAAAAATTTTCACCTAAAGATTTCATATGTATCACTACTCGGAATACCTTTGAATCTCATCGTTGAATAAATTTTTTTTTCTTATTTTTATTTAATTTTGTATTATTTTTATTTAATTATAACCTTTTTTAGCAATTATTTTATAAAGTTTATTCAAAATTATAAAAAACTTTATTATATATTTCATCATTTATTCTTATTAATTATTATTATAAAATAATAAAAATTTATTTTGATAAATTTAAACATTTTAACATGCCTATATATCAATAATAATAATTAAAATAACAAAAATAATATTTTTAAAAAATTCAAAAAAAAATATTTTTACCTAAACTGGACCGGTCAACGGTCCGGTTAACAAGCAATCTGATTTGACAGTTCGGTACGATTTGGTTCAATCTGAGCTAGTTTGGATGGATTGGTTAGAAGCTTAGGGATGGACGGGTTGTCAAGTCAGGTGCACGGATCCCGAGTCAGATTACGAGTTAATGCGAAGATCCTAAGTGCTTAAAACAATGTCGTTTTGAACCTTGATTGAAACGATGTCGTTTTGATGTTTAACCTTCTATATAAAAGTCTAAAAAAAAATTTTAGCTCACCTTTCCCCTCTCTAAAAAAAAAAAAAAAAACCTCTCCCCTCTTCCATTTCAGACAAAACCCAAGGGGAGCTAGTCGGTCACCATCGTCGTCGTCGCTGGTGACCAAAAAAAGTCAAAATCATCTAAATTGTTCTCCTCAACCCCCTAACTACAAATCCAGCCTCTGTTTCGCCTGAAAATATCTCAAATGGTGTAGATCTGGCCTGAAAGTTGCGACCAAAAAAATTTTTTTTTATGTTTATGTGTTGTTGTTTTTTTTTTTTTTTTGCTGGCGCTGGGTTCCCCATTCCAGAGGACTATGTTTTTGAATTTTTACTTTTTTTATTTTTTTGCAGGGTGTTTTTTTTTTACAAACCTTTTTTTTTCAAAAAAATTTTTTTAGTAGTTTTTTTTTCAATCCTCCCCCTTCTTTTTTTTTTGGGTTCGACCAGGAGCTCTATTTATAGAGCTCCAGTCATGCCCTGTGCCTAAGTGAGTGGCACAGGGCACGGCATGGGGTGCAAGCACAAGCTCTTTACCCATTTTATTTCTTCTATCTTATCCGACAATGGTAGGGCACGATGGTTAGGAATATAGGACGTGGTGGTTCAAGAGTGCTGATGGGGTGGATAAGGTTTGCAGGATATGGATGACCAGAGGGATGGGTGATCAGAGGGGTGGGTGGCCAGTGGTGCCATGCAAGGCACCACTACCATCAGCCCCCTTTTTTTTGTTTTTGTATTTTTCTCTTTTTTTATATTTTTGTTTAATTTAATAAAATAAAAAAATAAAAGACAGGCTGGGCCTAAAAAAGAAAATGGGCTTCGAGCCCGATCGAAATCAGACTTTAGGCCCAATCGAATTGAAATCGAGCCTGAAGTCCGATAGCTTGAGAACTATTAATTAAAATTTGAACAAATTTGGTATATACAGTTGCCCTTCTTTGTGCGTTGCTGAGAATAAGGAATAGGGCAAAGACAAGGACAATAATTTTGTCCAGAATCCAAAGAGATTTTTCTTTTTTTTTAACTTAAACTAATCATAAAGTTTTTCTCTTCAAATAAAAAATGCTCCTCTCACTTAAGGCTCGATAACTTTTGACAATTTGAAATCTGAAAAGGTTCCTTTCAGCAGAGGCTCAACAACTTTAAATTTTCTATCTTGAAAAAAGCTCATTTCAACAAAGACTCAACAACTTTAAAAATTCTCATCTTGAAAAAAGCTCC